TTGAAAGACTCTAACTATAGGAATGACATTACTAAGCAATTTAACCTAACTTCTGACTTACGCTCTCCTGAATGCACACCATGCCTTGCCTAATCTGCGGATTCTTTTCCTAGATCAAAAGAAGTAAGAATGAAGAATTGAGTAGTGAAAGAATGATAATCTCACTACCCCCAATAGTCCCTTTAGCAATCGTGCAGGCAGATCAGGGTGGGGCAAGATAACATCTAAAGAGAGAGCCAGTCTGCACACAATGGAGAACGACACAGAACCCAGCCTCCTGCCTAGACGATTCACTGACAGTCTTCCCCTCTTTTTCCCTTTAAAACTGTCATGGCTGAACAGAATCTTTGAAGTTGGTCTCTGGACAGTAGTTCACCTTCTCCCCAGATTGCCAGCCATTCTGATTAAAGCACCTTTCCTTTCTACTGACACTTGCCTCTTGTACAGTTGGCTTTTGAGTGATGAGCAGCTGAGCTTGAGTTTGGTAACAGTTTCTGAGTCTCAAGAGAAAATAAAAGTTCTTTCAGCATTGGCTACAAACACATTATTCCAAATGTATTTGGGTTGGGAAAAGGAAACATCCAGTGAACTGAAAAGAAAAAAGGAATGGTCCCCTCCCCTGCTCCCCCGAACCACACACTCAATCCCTCACTCAATTCCCACTTGAGTTCAAAGGAGGATGCCAGAAGAAGTGAGATACATCAGCATATGCAGCCCCTGCTCTTTAGAGCCATCCACAGGCATATGGAAGGTGCTGACTAAACACAAGAAAGAGCTGTAAGATAATGGGTCTGGAACGTTTATTTTATTTATTTTTCACTAGTATTATCAACAACAACCTCTATATCCAAAGGTGGAAACTTTAGTAGAGGCTACAACATTATTTCAGTGGTGCTGATTCTACTGCAAACATTTTGGTAATACAAACGATCCTGAACAACACAACTTTGAATGTTTTTGCATGCAACAAGGCCCTTATGAAATGTAAGAACTGGGGGGAGTACTTGTGGATGATTATATAAAGCCAGTTCAAAGAAAGGGGCATGTTCTTTGCTTCCCCTAGTATATTGTTACTGGGGGGGAAAGTGGGAAAGTTTGGGAACAACAAAAGGAAAAACAGGGGCTGGAAAAATCCTCCAAACCAGTGGTTCTCAAATTGAGAACGCCCTTCACTGGCAGCCTCACCTAGGATATTGTAGAAATGCAAATTCTCCACCCCACTTCAACCCCACCTACCTAATCAGATTTCTAAATGTCCCCAGGGTTTTTTAATAGTCTGATTCCATTTTCACTTTCTTTTCTCATGTAAAAATAACTACTAACACCTTTGGATTTCTTTCAAGTCATCATCTTGGCGTACTTGTGTAAATGGATCCTGCCCTCTTCATTCTAGACCGTATGATTTCACATAGAATAACCCTGTTCTGCCTTCCTGTGTGTCATTAGACTGCCCAGGGTGAACTGGGTCACTTCTGTGGCTCACTGATCTGGTTTTCCCATAGCTGGCAGGAAAAAAAGGAAAATCACCTAGTGCAATTTCCCGTCAGGAAGCAGCTTGTTTCTCATCTTTAATTAACCGTTTCTTCCTTGCGGAAATTCTATTAGAATTAAAACCCAAAATTCCCTGACCCTCTGTGGGAGAAAAGGAGCTATTTTCCTATCCAAGATCCCATGAGATAGCCTGGAAGGTGGGGGTTGGCTTGTCAGAAGGGGGGGGGCGGGGGGGCATGAGGGTAAGGAAAGGTGGTAGTAAATTCCAGAGCAGATCAAGGGAGAGGGACCAAGACAGATGTCCTTGAGGGAAACAGATCTGGAAGCCACAGTAAGAGGAGGCCTGTCTGACTGTATTCAAGATATAACTTGTCTTCATAAAACCATTTTGGGGCCTTCTGAAAGTAAATTCAAATAAATGAAGAAGCATTACATGACAATAGATGCTCTTTCTCCAGCAGTACTTTTATCCTTATTCCATCTCGTCACAGAACAATTAGTTACTGGACAATGTTTTTTATTTCAATATGGAGGATGACAATGTCAAGAAAGAATACACATAAAAAATTCTAACTTCTTTCAACCTTTTCTAATGATTGTTGGAAGGAGGAAAACTCAAAACACTTATAAAACCAAGAACTGCTTTGGGAAACAGTAATTTTTCGAATTTCTCTAACAGAGTTGTTTCCACAGAAAGGGGATGTACAACAACCTGGAAGTCAGATGGGGTGGGGGGTCCATTTCCAGCTCTGTCAGGGAATCGCAGAGTGAACTTGGACAAAAGTCTTGACCTCTCAGAGCCCTTGGCTCCTCATCTGTAAAATAAAGGATTAGGATTTCCAGTCTCAAAGACCCACTTCAGTTCCAGCTCCCAAAGAGTCTAAAAAATTTAACAGCCAATAGGTGGAAACAACCCAAATGCCCATCAGCTTGATGAATGGATAAACAAAATGTGGTCTATCCACACAATGGAATATTATTCGGCCACAAAAGTAATGAAGTACTGATGCATGTTATAACATGAACGAACTTTGAAGACATTATGTTAAGTGAAAGAAGCCCATCACAAAAGACCATATATTATATGATTCCATTCCCAGGGAATGGAAACCTATGGAAAAAGTAGATTTGTGGTTGCTTAGGGCTTGGGGCATGGGTAGGTGGGGGGATAAGGAGATGATAGCTAAGAATATGGAGGGGTTTTTATGAGGTGATGAAAATGTTTTAAAATTGACTATGGTGATAGTTATACAAATCTGTGAATACACTAAAACCATTGAACTGTATATTTTAATTGGGTGAATTGTATGGTATATGAATTATATCTCAATAAGGCTATTTTTCAAAGTCTATTAAAATACATTTTCAGAAGTTGCTAAGTTTTCGACAGGAACCAAACTCATGGAGTTAGACCAAGACCACCTTTATGAGATAGATAAGCATTATTATTTCACATGCAGCAAGTTGCAAAGGTTTGATACCACTCCCGTAAAGTAAAATCTGGAGGAGAATCAAACTCGAGGCCTTTGGGCTTCAAAAGGGAATGACATAAACCAAATGAGTGGAAAAGTAGAAAAATTAGGTGAGGAAAAGTTACATGAAAATCAGTGTAAGAAGCTGACTCTCCATTTGGGTTGGGGTGGGGGGGTCAATGATGTGCAAACTGTGCTTCAGTGAGGACAGCAGCTGCTCAGTGACCCCGGAGATGGGTGGAGTGGCCAGGCCAGCCACAGTGCAGACAGGATGGTGAGAAAGCTAGTGCTGGCAGGTTACCTGGCAACACGCATGGGGACGGGCCAAGGGCAGACTGGGGTGGGGGCCGGAAGCAATTACTAGATCGCCTAGCTGTAACCACCACGGTGCAGGAGGCCATCTACTGGCTCAAGGGCTTTCTCGGGTCACAGAACTATAGCTGGCACTCAGCAAAATGCCCTCAGCCCACAAAAGCAACACCGGAAAAACTGACCAAGCCCAAAAGCAGTGCCCTGCGTCAGACCTCGGCTAACCTCCCAAACTGGAACAAACGCATGTGCCTGTTTTCTTCTTTGAGAAAACATATATACGTCGTGGTGCTGATGTCCTGCACTGCCATTATTCCTAGTGGGCAAGGGGGCTGGGACCCAACAAGCAAGCCCCTCCCCGATCCTCACGTAAGGTACAGCGTACAGCCTGACCCCACTGACCCATTAGCATCAGCATGCCATCTGCGGGGAAAGGGCTACAGAAGGGGGACCAAGGCCAGCAGACGGCTTGACTCTTTAAACTCTCAAGTGACAGCTCCCTAGACTCCAACCTGGTCAGCCGAAGGCAGTGGTTCTCAAGGCATAGCCCAGGACAAACAGAATCAGTATTGCCTGGGAACTTGTTGGAAAGGAAAATTTCTGCTGAATCAGAAATTTGGGGGTGGGGCCCAGGAATCTGTGTTAACCAGACACACTGAAGTTGCAGAACCATTAGCTAAGTCACTCCCTACTCCAGGAACCCTAATGTCAAGCACCTGGGAACTGAATCCTGCAACTTTTCCACGGAACATTGAATTGGAGGGCCAGCAGGGACTGTGTCTGAGAAAGAGAAATCCGCAAGTTACGTACACCATGGACAGAAAACCTTCAAGCTTGGCCTGAGCCTTGCTCACCCATGCCCAGCCCCTCGGTGACTCACTTTTGTGAGTGGCACCCAAAGGGTGAGCAAGGTCTCATGTGAACACATCTGCCCATCTCAGTGCTCCAAACTCTGCCCTCCATGAACTTCCCACAGGGTGATGGTTCCTTGGAACAGTCCCAACACTCACACAGTGCTTCTGTCTAGGAAGTCCACTCATGGGTGTGCCTGCTTGATTTACTCCACACAAGAACCTTGTGAGGGAGGGCCCTCCCTCCAGAGAAGAGCAAATGGAACAAAGGGGTGCTAAGACTATACCCCATCTTCTCTCAGGTCAGAGTGACCTCCCCTGAACCACCTGCCTTCCTAGAGAAGAGTTTCTCCAAGGCTACACCCCCAGCTCAGAGACTGGAGACTCGGCAGCCTGCAAAGTGAAAACAGAGTGGGGAGCTGATTCCCTCTTCTCTGAGGGGTCCTTAATCCCCTCCAGAGTCTGTCATCAGCCAGGACCACGAGGCACCTCTGCTCATCAGCTGGCCTGGCTGGGGGTGTGTAGTTGTCTGCGTGTAGGAGCCCGGGAGCACACACCACCCATGCAGCCTTGTTTCAGGCCTGCTGGCTTCAAGAGAGCTTGCTCCCAGGCTTGGGCCATTTGACCGACCTCCCTAGGGGAACTTCATCTTATCTTCTTTGTTTCTCCCTCGCATTCCACGGTGCCGGCCCTGTGGACCAAAAAGTCCTCCACCATGTTTTCACTCATCAGTAATGGAGGCAAACAATGTTTCACTTAATGACTAGTTATTAGAGGCATTGTTCCACACAATTGTAGCATTCTCCACAGTCTCTTACTATGGAGAGAGAGAGGGACAGAGAGGGAGAGAGAGGAACAGAGAGAGATTGAATGTTACATTCAGGCGTCCTCGTGTGAGTGACATCGTCTTTAAACCCTGCATGGCAATCCCTGACGCACCGCCATGATGCCCAGGGAAGACAGGGCGACCTGGAAGTCCAACTACTTCCTAAAGATCATCCAACTCCTGGATGATTACCCAAAATGCTTCATTGTGGGAGCAGACAACGTGGGCTCCAAGCAGATGCAGCAGATCCGCATGTCCCTCCGCGGGAAGGCTGTGGTGCTGATGGGCAAGAACACAATGATGCGCAAGGCCATCCGAAGGCACCTGGAAAACAACCCAGCTCTGGAGAAACTGTTGCCACACATCCGGGGGAACGTGGGCTTTGTGTTCACCAAGGAGGACCTCACTGAGATCAGGGACATGCTGCTGGCCAATAAGGTGCCAGCTGCCGCCCGTGCCGGTGCCATAGCCCCGTGTGAGGTCACTGTGCCCGCCCAGAACACTGGTCTCGGGCCCGAGAAGACCTCCTTCTTCCAGGCTTTGGGCATCACCACCAAAATCTCCAGGGGCACCATTGAAATCCTGAGTGACGTGCAACTGATCAAGACTGGAGACAAAGTGGGAGCCAGCGAAGCCACACTGCTGAACATGCTGAACATCTCCCCATTCTCCTTTGGGCTGATCATCCAGCAGGTGTTTGATTGATGATCAAACCCCCACTGATGATAGAATGGGGCACGGATGCCACAGTTGGGTAACCAATCTGCAGACACACGCTGGCAACGTTGCGAACACCCTCCAGGAAACGAGAATGCAGAGTCTCCTCTGTGATGTCAAGCACTTCAGGGTTGTAGATGCTGCCGTTGTCAAACAAGGTACCTTTGGGAAATACTGTGTACTTTGCCCTCATTACAAGGCACGTTAGCTTGTTAACAGCTCTGAGAGTTTCTGCAATCAAGAAACCTATTGAGGTGGGGAGCGTATAGCTCAAGTGGTAGAGTGCATGCTAAGCATGCACGAGGTCCTCGGTTCAATCCCCAGTACCTCCTCTAAAAATAAATAAATAAACCAAATACCCACCCCACCACAAAAAAAAGGAAAACTATCAAACACATGCTCACTGTCCATAGCCTTCAGAGGACCACAGCTCTGATTCTTGGATTCTCCCCTTGCCCAGCTTTCCTTGTCCCTGGAACCTGGCTGCTTCCAATTAGCCCCTCCCAGTTTCTCTCCTGTGTTGAAGTCCATAGCCCACTCAGGCTCCCCACTGAGTTCCTGTCTGAAGGGTGGTTCTGGTATTTCCCATGTTTCCTTAATCCTAGGAGAGGATTATCCATGGTCTTCTGAGCTTGGTGAATGCCCAGACCTTTCTTGGGAGAAAACCCAAGCCCTGCCACTTCCTTCAGGGATTCTTTAGTGAAGGGCAGGTCAGGCAGAGTTTCCCACTTGTTAAAGATTACAGAACCGCAGCCAGCTCCAGGGACATTCAAATAGACACTTGTAAGAAATGACTAAAATGCAGATATGGACTTGAGAGGGAGGTCAGTGCCAGAGCTAGAGAGCGGAGCTCAGGAGGGAAGATGGTGAGGGACAGCAACAGGGCTTCTTAAAGACAGGAAGGGAAGAGCAGAACACGGAAGGTGTGAATTCTGAAGACAGTAAGAGAGCTTACTTGGCATCCTCGACCTGACAGATCCCTCATTTTATTCTCATTAGATGCATTAAATTGAGTACAACCTGGAAAGGGCTTCAGATGACACTACAAATACTGAGAAATTTCACAGCAAAAGAGAGAGGAGACAAACACCAGTTACCATTTTCAAATCTTTACCAGGGGTACAAAGGAAAAAACTGATGGAACAGATAAAACTTCTCAAAGAGTAACATTGTATAGAATGTTTTTCTGTATACCTTTGGGAAGCAGAGAAAGGAAAACATATGTGAGGTAACTTCTATGGAGTAATGGCAATTAAAACTTTGGATATCTTTTGGAACTTCTTATACACGACAACTCATTTTTAACCTTAAGATGACTTTGAGCTCAACATCTATAGCTACCACCTAAACTCTGCAAACTATCCCCAATCCACACATTACTCACTTCCAAGCACTGTGGATTTTAGAGCTCTTTATCGCTAAGGAATTTTTTTGCTTGTAGTAGTGATGTCCTACAAGAGCTAGCCAAACATATTAGAGAGAACAAATGCAGTTACTTATAAAAATAATTAGACTATGAAAACAAAAATGTAGATCAAAACTATACTCACTCAATATCAGCTCAAAATGATTTGAAAGATGGAGTAGAGGGAAGGAGAGAGGAAAACTCATAATCTGAGTGATATTAAACACTCAACTATCTAGAATTGATGCTTCTTCCCTGCACTGAACAAGCGGCCCTTGACCTCCCTCTTTTGAGGCTTTGGCAAATGATTACTTCTGAGGCAGAGGCATCAAATCTAACGTACTCCTTGTCACAAAAGCCTGATATTACATTATATTTCTCCTAAGTTAGTCACCTAATGAGATTGGCTCCAGGTGAAAATCAGAAGTGTGTCCTCCTGCTATTGTTAGCTCTCGTGAAGGGAGAGTCCGTCTCTTGCCTTTCAAAGGAGTCAGAGGTCCCTTAGCTGCTGATAGAATTATACACAGCTTCTCCCTGGCACTTCCTCAAATTCAGCACTTGCATTATAACATCAATAAAGATAATAAGGGGTCTGGCTGGGTACATGTGCAACATGCTCCATCAGGAGCCCATGTTGATGTCCTTGACCCATGGAAATAAGAGCTCTTGGGGCCACTCCTGGGTCTGGCTGTCTTTGTTGGTAAGATTCTCTCTTAACCATACTGCTTGCGAAGACAAAAATTAAAACAAAATGTTAACAATGACACAGTCTCTTCTCTGTTCCTCTACAGGCACCTTGTTTTAAAATGTATCTGGGATTTATCGTAATCAGGTCTGGTAAGACAGGCAGACATGGAAATGGCTGTCATGAAGGCAGTTTTTACTCACAGATCCCTAGAAGCAGGAGGCGTATCATGCCACACAGAGCCACAGGGGGAAGCACCAGGGTTGGTCAGGAGGCAGCAGGGGTGAGGGGGAAACACAGACAAAAGACTATTGTGGTTTTCACAGAAATGAATGGATCAGCAAGGTAAGCAGGATAGGATTTGCTAGTTTGAATAGTGTTAGCAAGCTCTGGGCTACAGGGTGGTCCCTAGTTGCCCAGTACCTAGCCCTGGGTGACTCAGGGAAGAGGGAATATTGGCTTGTTGTGTGAGTTAATAAAGGAGGTGACCTGGGGGCGTGGACTTTGCATTGGTTGGTTTGCATATGAAACGCATGCTCATGGACAAGTTGTTTACTCCTTCTAGGAATTAGCTAACTCTGGAAGGGGCAGTCTCTCCAGGATTAGCAAGGCCCCAAGATGTCAAAGCATCATAAAATGCAGAAAGTTTAAAAAAAAAATCACCTGATGTCCCTCCCCACAATTCTCATTTCTTCCTTCCTTCTCTCCAACAAAGGACCAGTCTAGTCAGCATAAGTTCACTAGCCTCTCATCCATGCGGGAACCCTTCCCACAGTGCTGCCTTATCACATTGTTTAAGCAACCTAATTCAGAACCAGAGTTAAAGACACCTGCATGTCAAAATCATTGGGGAAATTTATTAAAAATACAGTTCCTTGGTTTCATTCCAGACTCACAGAATCAGAATTTTCCAAGGTAAAGCCGAGGCATTCTGTGGTGGTTAATTTTGTGTCAAATTGACCCTAGGGTGCCTAGATATTTGCTTAAACATTTTTCTAAGTGTGTCTATGAAGGTGTTTCTGAATGAGATTAACCTTTGAATACGGAGACTGAGTAAAGCAGATTGCCCTCCCCAGTGTGAGTTGGGTTCATCCAACTCATTGAAGGCTTGAATAGTACACAAAAGGCTGAGTAAAGAGAGAATTCAATCTCTCTGCTTGACTGTCTTTGAGCTGGGATACCAGTCTTCTCCTGCCTTCAGACTTGAACTGGAATCTACACCACCAGCTCTCCTGGTTCTCGGGCCTTCAGGCTCAGAATGGAACTGTACCACCAGCGCTCCTGGGTCTCCAGCTTGTCGATTGCAGATCTTAGGCATTCTCAGCCTCCATAACCATATATATACCTCCTATTGGTTCTATTTCTCTAGAAAATTACACCTTGAAATTCTATCAAGTGCTTCAGATCTTCAGATTCAAATCTAAGGTGTGTATCTTCCAGTTCCTTGCACTTTCTGGTCCATGAAGATTTCTCTACTTCAATCCACACAGAGTTTTCCACTCTCTCGAATGCTTGGTGCACTAATCATCAGAACTACACATTTTTCTATTTATCTATGTTTTCACTGTCTTGGTCACTGTAGCTTTATATTAAATCATAAAATTAATGCAGCATAAGTGAAAAACTCCAAATATGTCCTTTAATCAAAATCAATTTATTATTCAAAATTGTTTTGGCTATTCTAGGTCCTTTGCATTTCCCTATAAATTTCAGAATTAGCTTGTCAATTTCTGCAAAACTCCTGGGATTTTGTTAGGAAGTGCTCTAAATCTATAGATCAATTTAGAGAGAATTGGTATCTTAATAACATTTAGTCTTTCCACCCATAAGCACAGTACGCATATCTATTTATTTAAGCTTCCTTTAATTTCTCTATGCAATGTTTTATATTTTTCACTGTACAGGTCTTACACACATTTTGCTAAGTTTATCCCTAAATATTTCATAATTTTGATATCATTATAAATAGTATTATTAAATTTCAGTTTCTAATTATTCATTGATTGTATATAGAAATTCAATGTTTGGCCTTGTATCCTGCAGCCTTGCTAAATTCATTTATTAGTTCTAGTAGATTTTTTGTAGTTTTCTTAGGATTTCTTTACATAGACAATAATGTCATCTGTAAATACAATTTTATTTATTTCTTTCTGATCCGTATGTCTTTTGTTTCTTTTCTAACCTTATTACACTGGCTAGGATCGGTACAATGTTGAAAAGAAGTGATAAGAGTAGACATCCTTACTTTGTTCCCAATCTTAGGGGAAATGAATTCTGTCTCTAATTAGTATAATGTTAGCTACAGGTTTTTTGTTGATAATCTTTATTTAGGTGAGAGTATTTTCTTCTATTCCTAGTTTACTGAGAGGTGCTGTTTCCTTTCTTAACAAATCAGTATTGAATATTATCTAATTCTTTTCATCCATTAGATCTGATGAACTGATCATACTGTTTTTCATTTTTAAGTCTGTTAATGCAATAGGTCATATTGACTGATTTTGTTAAGCCAATCTTGCATTCCTGGGATAAACTCTACCTGGTCATCATGGATTTGTATATTGTATATTGCTGGATTTAATTTGGTAATATTTTAAAAGACTTTTTGTATCTTTGGTCAAGAGAGATATTGTTCTTAACACTTCCTATGTGCATAATCTCTGCATGATCTTTTTTTAAATTGAAGTATAGTCAGTTACAATGGGTCAATTTCTGGTGTACAGCATAATGTTTCAGTCATACATATACATTACATATATTCATTTTCATATTCTTTTTCATTGTAGGTTACTACAAGATATTGAATTTGTTCTCTGTGCTATAAAGAAGAAATTTTTTTTAATCTATTTTATACATAGTAGCTAATATTTGCAAATCTCAAATTCCCAATTTATCCCTTCCTACCCACTTCCCCCCGGTTACCATAAGTTTGTTTGTCTGTAAGTCTGTTTGTTTTGTAAATAAGTTCATTAGTGTCTTCTTTTTTCTTTTTTTTTAAGATTCTACATATGAGTGATATCATATGTTATTTTTCTTTCTCTTTCTGGCTTACTTCA